TCAGTTCAGTTTGAGACTCCATCCATCCAAGTTTATCCTAAACCCATCTTGGTCATCTGAAAGTGGTTTATATGCACTGAATGTCTATGGTGTTACAGATTTGAACCAGTTTCCAATAACTTCTACTGGTTTGTATGCAATTTCTGTCCCTCGGCCTACAGAACAACTTGATAAATCTGGTGTCGGAGAGATTCGTACAGGAATAAGAGCCCCTGGAGATGAAGTGTGCATGCATGGCAAGGAAAGGGGAAGACACGAGAGGATCCTTGGGTCCACACAGCAAGCCATTCAGCCATCCCTTTGCTTTCTCTCTACTGTGTTTACCAATATTTCCTTTCCACCCTTGGTTTGGCCCATTTGGATGCAGTAAGAAATAAAGGTAGCATAAGGTAGCCCCCAGATAGCAGAATAGTTGCCAAGGAATTTATTATTCAGTGTTTTAAGACAGGCACACTGTAGCATCCTGCGTTTCCGTTGTCTTTTGTCTTTTTTGGATAGCTAAATATGACAAAGGGAACCTACTAAAATTATAGAAGCAGGTCATGTATGTTTGCCTGGTCTTTAAGATTTTTTTTTTTAAATGTGTTAGTATAGCAAGCTATGGTTACTACTGCCATGCTGCTGGCTTGTTATGATCCCAACTTCCACAATATTTGACAGCTAAATCACAACCTGTACCCTTGGTTTTACTACCACTCAGTTGTAATTCAATGTACTTGTGTTGACTATAAAATGTTTGTTGGCCTGACACACCATGAATGGTTGCAGATATCCTAGCAGGTTTTTTGTTTAAACTGCATAATCACTTTGCTGTAATGTTTAAATGCTAGCCTTGATCAGCTGAGGTGTTAAATTCCTCAGCCAGTCTGCCTCAGCCAACCTTGAAGCATAGGAACAGATGGGGGAAGTATATTTGTAGACATAATTATCCTTCAGTGCCAGGGACAGGCACAAGGTACAAGTCTGTAGAGTAATGGCCAGAATTTTTTTTTTTAAATAAAAAAGGGGCATGAATGTCAAAGGGTCATGGGCTGGAAACTCAGACTTTTGAAACACTGCACTTTACTGGAGATATTACAAGTCAAGATTATTTATCTCTGCAAGAAATTATAAGGGCATTTGAAGAAACAGGCAGATGGCAGACTCTTGAATATGTGGCAAAGTTCCTTAACATCCATCAGTGAATAGATGTTATCTGCAATTTTAAAAAAAGTGTGATGCTAACGAACTAATCTAAATAAACACTGACCTATCAGTAGGCAGTAAACAGTGTAACTGGGTTTGGTACATTGCTTCAATTAGACGTGTTTTGATCTCCATTGATGCTTTAATTGGAGACAAGCTTCCCTTTTCATCTAGAATTTATGACTTCAGGGAGATGATCTAGCCTTCAAATTATAAATGTTTAAGTATCCACTAATTAATCATCATTTAGTATCTCAAAGCTTCCAAACTCATCTTTAAAATACTACAAAATAATTCCCACTAGGAAACAAGTTTCAACTGTAAAGTAGTGACAATGCCACCCTAATTTTACTAGGATATATTGTGGGTTTGAACACTTTAAAGTGATCAATATTTTTTCATTCAATATACAGGACTATGAAATAAAGCAAATATCCTTTTAAAACCTGCTTCTTATATTTGAATTTAATAAACAACATTTAAAAATGAGTATCCCTCTAAGCTTTGAACATTTATACAAAATTAGATTTTCAATAATAAATAATGTGCAACCAGGCCTGGTCAAAAAGTTTTCAACTTTCAGAATTGATGTAAAAATGCTGCATTGCAATTAACACTGAGGGCGGGGGAGCAGGAGGGCTCAAAACAAAATTTAAATCAAGAATATTTACCCATACAGCTTTAGCTATTTGTCCACTATTTATATATACACAACTGCTCAGTGTCTTGCATTTATGACTATAATTCCTGCCTATAAGAAGAACACAAATAAAATCATAATATAATCACATCACCCCTCAACATGGCTTCTGTCCAAAAATCTGACCTCCTAAAATACACGTTTTACCATGTCAAAAACGTTAATACATCTAGGCTTTGATAATCCAAGAATGGAAAACTGCCCTAAAGTTAAAGGACTACCAAAGTTTATGCTATGCATGGTTCTCTGTCCCTCCACTTTTTTTTCAATTTTAAATTAACATCACATACATCTGTATACCTCTACTGAACTAGTATGGCTCTACAGCAGAAGTTATCTTTAGTAATACTCTCTAATAGTGCAGGAAGGACATTTATCTTAAGATTTTTAAAAATGATTTCCAAACCTGTATTATCCGCCCTTCTTTATCATCAAGCCCATTTCCTCCTTCATTCCTACACACCTGCTTACTCATAACACTCTGCTGTACTCCAGTTAGAAGAGGCTACCTAGAGAAACTGTGGCATTTCCATTCTTGGAAGTTTTCAAGAGCCGGTGAGACAGACACTTGGCTGGGATGGTTTAGTTAGGGCTGATTCTGCCTTGACCAGGGGGCTGGGCCAGATGACCTTGTGAGGTCCCGTCCAGCCTGACTTCCCTATGATCCCAATTTTCCTTTAAACAATTGCTCGCATAGAATTATCAAATAAAAAATCTGATTCAAAGCAGCACCATCATCAACTACTACTGTGAGCACTGTGCACAGAGGCTTGGATTCAAAAGGAATCCAAAGACACCTAAAGGAATTAGGTGCCCAACTCCTATTAAAATTATTTGAGTGAAATAATTCCCCTGGGGGCTTTTAAAATCCAAGCTAGCACTTTCATTCCCTCTGTGAGACACAAGTAGCTAAAAGTAATACTTGACTCTTATATTCTTACTAGTTACGATGCAGAATTTTTGCTCTTCAATTGATTTTCAAGTATTATCATTACTGGTAACATATCTGTGTTTGTAACTATCTCTACAGAGATCCCAGTAAGCTAATACCCAATAACAATAAAAGAAAAAATAATTACTTCTTAAGACAACATGACTGCAATTTATTTTATCAGTGATGTGTGGTTTGAATGAGTAACAATGCAACTGTTCCTATTTGCTTGTTCTGTTGGTAGGACATTATATTCTATTAGACTCAATTACTGTGCACCCCCTGGTGGCTATGTAATAATGTTAACTACATTTTTATGAGTAAAATTCATACTACAAAAGAAGTATCAGCCAAAGACAAGTTTTGGTGACCAGACTGGACCATAAGAATCATATATTAATTGATGACTGAGATAATTACATTTAATTTTTAACAGAATAATCATGTATTCATTTTAAAAACTGAGCATTATTCAATAAGCTACTTTAATGCTATTGGTTTTTAATTTAATGATTTAAAGCAGAAAAGAGCAACACAGAAGATAACTTCATTTCCTTAATTGAGAGAAATTATTTGGCATTATCACCTACATGCAAAAGTCCACAAGTCCAGTGAGAGGTGACAACATAAGCTAACATCTTAACTATTTGGAAAGGAATAATGCTGAACTGCTGGTGATCTGAGGATGTTTTATAGATACTTATATCTTTAAAAAAAACCTTACATAAGATACATCTTTAAAGGCCATCTTCTGCTCTTTGGGTGCAAAACTGCATTTGCATATATATTCATCCACACTGATGAAGCGTAAAACTCCGTATGTACACTTTCTTCATAGTTTCATAGTAGCATAGTAGCTAGGGTCAGGAGGGACCTGGATCATCTAGCCTGACCCCCTGCCACAGGCAGGGAAGAAAGCTGGGGTCCCAAGAC